AAAGAAGGGGAAACTCTATCAGGCCAAGAGAAAAGGAGCGGTCAAAGTGTGATATTATTGTCCAATGAGGACATTCGCTATGGGAAGCTAAAGAAATAGGATCCAGCCTTTTAAAAATAATCTTTCTTTGTGATTATAAAAATAATGCATGTTCGGTGTAGAACAATCTTAGAATGCAGAAAACTGCAAAGGGAGCAAAGAATCCCACTGCTCAGAGATCTCCATTGTTAACATTTTTGGCATATTTCTTTCTACTATGTATTGTTTGTGTGAGAGCGCACTTGCTTTGCACGCCTGCTGCTGCTTATAGATTTGTACCCTGCTTTTTTGATTTACCGTTACAGTAATTATTCTCCTTTACTTATGGTCTCTGAAAATGTGGTTTGGGATGGTCTCATAGCCTTTCTTCACCCAGCTGCCCCGTGTGTCACATTTTCTTGTTGGACTGTTGGAATTGTTTATAGCTTTTTGCTGTTATAAATAATGTTACAAAGAAAAATTGCTACTGTGGGCTTCCTTCAGGGTATCTCTGATGGTTCCCTTAGGTGAGAAGTTCTTCAATATGTTGATAAGAGATTAAAGAGAAGAGGAACGTTTTGAAGCTCTGTGTAGGTTTGCTAGCTGGTACCCAGAACTTTTGTGATTTAAAGGGACACAAATAGAGAAAGAACCTAGACATTCTAGAACAGTGGCCTTGAGCTTTGGGGTTTTGCAGAGCAGTGAAAACACATAAACAAAAACATTGAGGAGGGACAGACATCTGGTCCTGGCGTTATTTGGTCCAGCAGAGCTTTTTCCGCCCTCCTCCTTATTCCCATTCTGGAAGAAATACATTTTAATACCAAATAGTAAGGATGTGATTTCACACGAAAGGACAGTTGTTTAAACTGAATAAAACTTCATTTGTGAAAACCTCAGTTTACTGTCCTTATTTCCATTCATTCCTCCTTGGACCTGTGTACATTTGGATCTAAATTTTTGCTTTTTTTCTTAAATAAAAAATCTTTATTTTTAGGTTGCACAGAAACACATTTTTTTTTCATGGAGTATAAGCAATTAATTCTTTCCAAAGCTTCTAGTGGGCTCTGGCTCAGCGCTACATAGCTTTTCCATGCACCCTGGCTACGAGTCAGGGGCTTTTAAAATGCAGATACGCTTATTAATATGTTTATACATATATATGTTTTCCATTTGTCGTAACATGTATTTGGAGGAGGGCCGTGATTTTGGAGGAAATGGGAAAGAGTGAGGTAGGAGAGGGACTTAGGGCCACTAAGCTTGAGATACATATTTTGAGAATCAGAATTGGCTTGGTGTTTGGACATACCATTGGCAATATTAACATTTTTTCCTTCTTATTGTATTACACTTTTGATTTTGAAAAAATTCAAAGCCAGAGAAAATTTAAGAATAGCATAAGAAACTCCTGTTCGTCCCTCACTGAGATCCATTCATTATCTTGTTCCATTTACTTAATTTCTCTCTCTGTGCTACAGTTTTATGTACATTTGAGTGTAAATTTCAGCAGTAAACACCCTATAACCTTTGTTACTTCTGCATGCATTTTCTAGGGACGGGTTCATTCTCTTATGATACCATGACGTAGTTATCAAATTGAGGAAGTTTATACAATACTGCATTTTTTTCAACTGTGCCAATTTTTGGAGCATCTTTTTCTTCCTGACCCAGTATCTAATCGAGAATCGAGGGTGATGTTTAGTTCTTGTGTCTGTTTAGGCCTCTGTCTGTCTCTTAGGACACTGGCATTTTTTAAGAGTACCAGGCCTGTTGGTTTATAAAACATCTCTCAGTTTGGGCTTAGCTGGGAGATTCCTTGTGATTTATTTCGGCAGATGCAGTACCATAAACTTAGTAACTTAAAGCAACAATAAACATTCGTGATTTCACATAATCTCTGTGGGTCAAGAATTCGGGAGTGGCTTGGCTGGGTGGTTCTGGCTCCGGATCTCTCATGAGATCACAGTTGAAAAAATGCTGCCTGGGCCTTTCATCATCTCAAGGCTTAACTGGGGCTAGAGGATCTGCTTTCAAGAGGACTCATCCCAGGGGGGATGGACAGTTGGGACTGGCTGTTGGCCAGAGGCCCTTGCCGCAGAGACGTCCCCATAGGATGCTTGAGTCTTCTTGCTTCACTGCATGGAGCTGGCTTCCCCCAGAAAGGGCGGTCCATGGGCGGGAACAAAGAGGAAACCTCAGCGCCTTAGGACCTGACCTTGGAAGACTCATATTCTCACTTCTGCATTCTGCACAGTGGCTTTCAACATATCCACAAAGTCTTTGCTCTCCTTCCCTTCAAAGGATGGAGCCTCCTTCTCCTCCCCTAGAGTGTGGACTGGACTCCCCTCTGGGGGGCGCTGTGCTAAGTGACGGCTTCTGTGCATTGGGCTGGAAGTCTGTGGTGTCCAAGGACTCAGGTTCTGTGGCTGGGGCTCGTGGGGATGCCCTCTCGCTTCACGACACCAGAGCTGCCATCCCTCCAGCCTCGGCTGACTTTTCTTCAAGTGTCCAGAGCCAGGCCTGCAAACACAGCAGGAATAAGAATGTGAAGGGGGTTGAGAAGAGCCAGCCTCCCACAGAGTCTCCCGGAGAAGCCTATGCGAGAGCCATCCCAGGGACAGCCGCGCTCTCTGCAGAAACTTCCTTGACGTGTAGGAAGAGGACTTGCAGCGGGACCCGGAGAGGAAGCACAGGAGAAATGGCCTATGGCTTGTCAGAAGGAGGGCTAGGCAGGGAGGGATGGTGTTGGGATCTTTAGCTGAGCGCCCTGTGGGGGCAGGAGCAAGCCAGAATCCTCGGACAAGGGCCCTGGGCCCAAGGACCTCAGCCAGGTACAGACTCTCAGGCGTTCTGTGAACTGCCCAAGTTAGTCACCTCGCTGAGCCTAGTCTCAATAAATGCCAATGTAGCACGTGTTTTTGACTTCAGGTATTACCCGTCATTAATTATAAGTCATTTTTTCATATTTAAACATTTCTGAGATTTGTAGACATCTTAAAATCAAGACATCCTGAAGGTAGGCGACATGTGTCCTTAGAGATTCTTTAAAGAATGCTGTGTCTTCCAACCATGGGCATCTTAATTTTTATGAAATATTGTAGATTGGAGATATGGTAGCACTAAGGAATCGCTTGTTTTTTTTTTTAAGGTTTTCAGTTTTATTATTTAAAAAAAAATGAGTCCTTATCCCTTAGGTCTGTTGAAATATTTATGGATGCTGTGCTGTGCTGGGTTTTGCTTAGCACTAGTCTGGGATGGAGGGAATGAGGGAGAGCTTAGATGAAGCAAGATGGACTGTGCATTGAGAATTGTTGGTGTCAGGCGGAAGGTGCCGGGAGTTTCTTACAATATTCTCTCTACTGTTGGTATGTTTGAAAATGTTCATAATGAAATAAAAGGAGAAAACCCACAAAGAAACAAAGTGCATACGTAAAGGGCTTTTTCTCTGCTTTCAGCAGGATTGGGTCCCTCATTATTCAGATCCCATCCTCGATGTCACCTCCTCTAAGAGGCCCTCCCTGATTACCTCTTCCGTGGCTACTCCCCTCCCCCCTTCCCACTCCCCTCAACAGTTCCTCTGTTTCGCATCCTGCTTTTCTTCCCAGCACCATCGCCTCCTGAAATTATTGATATGTTTGCTTACTTGATTATTGTCCCCTTGCATGTAAGCTCTGTGGGAGCAGGGAAGTTGTTGTTGTTTTAAATCCAGCACACAGTAGGCAATCAGGAAATATTTGGTGACTGACTGGTAAGGGCCCACTGGTATATCGCCTGGTCCCTGGTGGACAGCCCACACGGCTGGCTTCGCTCCTCACCCTGCTAGCTTCTGCGTCTCTTGGATGTGCCCATGGCCTGTCTTTGAGGCCTTCCCTTTCTGTCCAGGCCGCCTGACTGGTCTTCAGCCCATATGCCCTTCTTGCATTGCCAGCCCCCCCTTCCGGCACCCCCTTGCCAGCCCCCCTTCCAGCCCCGGGGTCCTGTGGGTGCCCCTCTTGGGTTTCTGTTCCTCCCCTCTCTGGGCACTTCTTGCTGATGAGTTCCAGGCACAGCCCAATCCCTGGGATGACCTGGGAGTTTGTCATCAGCTACTCTGAGGAGAGAATTCTCTGTCAAGTAGGGAGACTTCCCTGTAAAGTAACAGGAAACCCTACTAAAGAAAGAGGAAGGAAGCTTATTGGTTCCTATCACTGCCAGTCAGGGCACATCCCCTCACCTGTACCCTCGAGGCCACCACAGAGTGGACTGAGGGGTGGCATGGGTACTAGATGGGGAGTAGTCAGGGTCCTCTCCGGAGCCCTTCCAGACTGTTCTAGCATTCTAGCATTCTAGCGGCGGCTCCAGTTTCTGCATTCCACACAGGGCCTATGGAAGCAGAGGTGTGGCCGGGGTGTGGGAGGGTGCTGGGGAGGGCAGTGAGACTCCAGCCAGCGGCCAGAGTGCAGTGGCACCCGCTGAAAGGGATGCCTGGCTAGGGCCCCTCCTGCAGCCAGCAGCTGCCTGCTCCCATGGGCCTGGGGACAGAAGGAGGACAGAGAATTTGCCAGGTAGAGAAATGAGGAAAGGATGTTCCAGGCAGAGGGCACAGTCTGAGCACAGGCCTGGCAGTTAGCCATGGGGTCAGAAGGGAGCAGACAGGCGAGAGAGTGGTTGAAGAGGGGGAAGTGGCAGTCTCCCTCTCTTCTGGTCTGCTTAGCTTGTGTGTCGCTCAAATCTGAAAATTCCTCTAAAGCTTAAAAACAGCGTCCCACAGTTCAAGCTTATAGGGTATCATTTTTGAACCTTTCTTAGAATCTGTTAAGGCTCCTAGTGGAACACGGGGGGCTCTGGAAGATGGCAGCAGATGATTTTCCATTCCCGGAAGGAGGCCTCGAGACCGTGACCCATGTCCCCTTGGTGTCTCCCTCCCCATCACCCCTGGTATGCAGTGTGTTCTCGATTCCTGTTCTTGATTGTTCTTGATATAAGCTATCTTGTATCTGCAGGTGCAAAGAGAAGAAATATGATTATGATCACCTTCCCACGACATCTGTCATCATAGCGTTTTATAATGAAGCCTGGTCAACCCTCCTCCGGACAGTCTATAGTGTCCTCGAGACATCCCCAGACATCCTGCTGGAAGAAGTCATTCTTGTAGATGACTACAGTGATAGAGGTAAGCTCCTGCCACGGGCTCCTGGAGGGGCCTGGTGTTCTGTGGTGGCGCTTGGGAGGCCAAAGCATGACTTCAGAGGGGTGGAACAGGTCTGGGCAGAACAGGCTTCCTGTGTCCCCCTGGACCCGGCTCTTGTCCTCAGGGGGCTCAGGGCCTGCTGCGGCTGGAGGGGTGGTGACAGCTCTGCCATACGGTGCTGCAGGAGACAGGGTACTCGGGAAGAGGGCCGATCTTATGTCTTGAAGGGTGAGCAGTTTGTGGGCAGCAAAGGTGGAGGGAGGGGGTTCTGAGTGGAGGCACAGAAGGTAGAAAGCCTCGGAGGCATGGTGTCGCCTGGGTTGTGTAGCACCTGCCACTCATTCAGGAAGGCGGGAGGAGCAGCTGCTTCATGGGGAACAGGCAAAGGAGGAATGTGAGATGTGGAGAAGGATGCAGGCATTAGACTTGAGGTCAGATCAGGACTTTGTCCTGAGAGCAGGGAGAGCAAAAGTGGGATTTTAAGCAGGAGAGCAGTTTTGCCCTTTAGGGATCCCTCTAGGCCCGAGATACCTGTGGGTGGAGAACGGTGTGCAGCGGAGCTCTGCAGGGAGGCCAGGGGCTATCGGGCTGGCCCAGGTGAGAGAGGGAGGCTGGGAGTCAAGTGGGAGCAGAGGGGAGGGGCAGGAGGGACATTTGAAACATGATGTCTGCAGGATCTCTGGGTGAGTGGTGGTGCTGTCCCAGAGCTGGGAAAGCCATCCAGGGCAGGAGTGACAGGTCTGGGAGAGGAAGAGGAGCATTTGGCTTTGGATGTGTTGAGTTTGAGATGAGATCAAAAACGGTCAGCCCTGGGGGTGCTTAGGTGGCTCAGTTGGTTGGGCGTCTGACTCTTGATTTCAGCTCAAGTCATGATCTCAGAGTCCTGAGATGAAGCCTGGCATGAGGCTCCACGCTCTGCAGGGAGTCTGCTTGGGATTCTGTCTCCCTCTCCCCCATGCGCCTCTCTCTCTTTCTCTCAAATAAATAAATAAATATAAATCTTTAAAAGGTGGGAGGGGCAGCCCAAACAGGAGAAGAACTGAAGCCAGGGAGAAATATCCCATTGAGAGGCTGGCCAGCATCCCTACCAGTAACCTGGGGTCCATAATTCACATGCAGTCCTGGACTGGCCCTTATTTATTCAGTAAACACTTTTTTAGTTTCTTCTGTGTGCCAGGCACTGTTCTAGGCACCAGGGATTCTGTGGGAAACACAAGTCCCTGCTCTCATAAACTCACATTCTGGTGGGTGGAGATGGTCCGGGAATGTGTAAAGAATAATGTAAGACAACACAATGTAAAATAGCATAGCGTGACATAATAATATAGCAAATGTAATGCAGCAAGGTGGAGAGTGCTGCGAAACAAAAGTGGGAGCAGGAGAGGAAGTGGAGCTTGGGCACAGGCCCTCCTCCAGCTGGTGGAGGCCAGGAAGCCTCCCGGAGGAGGTGGTCTTAAGCCAAAAGCTAGGATGTAGAGGAGGCAGCCCAGAAGCCACAGGTGCAGGCAGGAGCTGGGGTGAGCAGGCATTCCTCGGGGCGACCATCGGCCAGTGGGGAGACGACATGGGAGATGCAGTTGCAAGGGTGGGCGAGACCAGGCCATTTGGGCCCTTGAAGCCACCATAAGGGTTTCAGGCTTCAATATGAGGCTGATGGGAGCTGTCCAAGGGCTGTTGGAGGAACATGAAGGTCACTGGGTCTTGGGCTCACTGTTCTGCCCTGTGGGGCAACCACCGATGGACGGTTGGGGCGGAGAGGCTGTGGTCGTGCCACATGCCATGTGATGAGCTGAGTGAGGGCCCCTAAGTTCAAATGAGGGGAAATGTCAAGGCCGTAGCCCATTTCAAGCCAAATGACCATCCCTGGGCCACGCAGAAGGGCATCCTGCTCCTGCTTCCTGGGCATCGGCTGCCTTGGGCTCTGGGCCGGGGCTGTCTGACTTCAAAGCCTGGAGTACGTGTCCTAACTTGTGGGTGTGTTTGGCTGCTTGCGCAGAGACTCAAAATAACAGTAATTTCCATGGGATAAAAATTGATGTCTCTCGGGGCGCCTGGGTGGCGCAGTGGGTTAAAGCCTCTGCCTTCAGCTCAGGTCATGATCCCAGGGTCCTGGGATGGAGCCCTGCATCGGGCTCTCTGCTCAGCAGGGAGCCTGCTTCCTCTTCTCTCTCTGCCTGCCTCTCTGCCTACTTGCGATCTCTGTCAAATAAATAAATAAATAAATAAATCTTTAAAAAAAAATTGATGTCTCTCATATCACACATCTGCGAAACGGTCGAGGGCTGGTGTGGCGGGCTTCACAGTGTCATGGCCCCAGCTGCTTCCGTCCTGTCGCTCCACTTTCTCCAGGGTGGTTTTGTCTGCATGTCCCCGGCTGGCTCTTTGCCTTCTGCTTGCTCTCACTGGCAGAAGGGTTTCAAGGGGCTTGGGAGCCAGACCTGGAAGCTGTCCTCATATCCCACCGAGCAGAACGGGCTCACTTGGCCGCACCTAGCTGCAAGGGAGGCTGGGGACAGTAGCCTATAAGATGGGGGGCTGTGTGCATCCACGGGGACCGTGTGTGTCAGGCCTCAGCTGGCTTCCGTGACAGCATGCAGGCCAGGCTGGGGCTTCATGCTGAGTGATGCCCACTGGGCACTGAGTTCTGGAGTCAGGGTACCTGGGACTGAGGTGAGCTTTACCAGGAACCTGTCATGGCACCTGGGACGAGCCACTTGTCTTTTCTGAGCCTCGATTTCTTATCTGTTAATGGGTTTCTCCACGCTTATATCAGAGAGCGGCGAGGAATAAATGAGATTGTGCACAGGACAGAACCCCATGTTGGCCGGCACGTATAGGTGCACATCTCCTTTTCCTCTGGTCCTTTCCTCCCAGGGCTGTTTTAAATCTGCGTTGGTACTGGTTCTGGATCACATTGCACGGGCATCCCAGCTCCAACACCTTGCAGCTACGCAGCCTCGAGCAAGTCCAGTGTCTACCTTGGCCTCAGCCCCAGTCAAGTGGGGTAACAGTTCTGACCTCCCCGTGGGGTCATTTCGAGGATTGAGATAAGGGTGGGTCACGGGCTAGGTCAGCGCCTGGCATATTGTTAGTGTTTGTTAAATGGTAACTTGTAATTTTATGAAATATTAAAAAACTGCAGGGTGCCGAAAACATTTCAGAAAGGTATTCATTCAGAAGCAAAAATCAGATTATTTATTTGATCCTCATGGGATGGAACAGCTCCTCAGCGGGCCAGGGTGTGGGATGAAGCCCTCCCCACTCTGTTCTCTCGCAGATGCCAGCGAGGGCGCTGTGGGGCTGAGGCTTCCCTCCCCATCCTGGTGACTTGTAGAGTGGGCAACTTGCCCCCCAGCCTGTAATGTGATAGGAGCCCTGCCCTGCACCTCCCCTCCCTGCTGCCACCCTCTCTGCATGTCCCTCTCAGTGGGAGGAAGGGGTGTCAGCCCTCCAGGGCGTGGGAAGACAGTTCAGACAGACGTAATCCATAAAGGTGCAGGGGGGGCTACACATGCATTTTCTTCCTTCCTTCCTTCCTTTCTCTCTCTCTTTCTCCTTCCTTCCTTCCTTCCTTCCTTCCTTCCTTCCCCTTTTTATTGTGTTTCCTGGGCACTGCCACTGATTAGCTTCGCTTAGAAGTCACCTCCCTTATTTGTGCTGGCAGCTATTTGCAGTTATATTTAGGATTTAAAAAAAAAATCAACCATTGAATGCTTTATTTATTTATTTATTTTTGCATGTCAGGAATATTTAGAGAAACATTTTTACAAACTCTGAAGCAACCTAGAATAGTTCATAAAATTTTCCCTTTTGGTGATGACTGAGAACTTTCAGACAAAGCCCACATTGATGTGGGGGGATTTTCTTATTTTTCGTTTGCCCAATGGGTTCCCACCTACCTCCACGTGACCCACGGAGGGGTGTGAACCAGGGCCTCCAGCCCCTTAACGTGTGTGGAGTCAACAAGTCCTGGGGCCAGTCCTCGCTGTGGGCATGACCTATTGAGTTTTAATTTTTTTAAAAAGATTTTATTTATTTGACAGAGAGAGAACACAAGCAGTGGAAACCACAGGCAGAGAGAGAGGGGGAAGCAGGCTCCCCACTGAGCAGGGAGCCCAATGCGGGACTCGATCCCAGGACTCTGGGATCATGACGTGAGGTGAAGGCAGATGCTTAACCGACTGAGCCACCCAGGCACTCCATGACTTTTCAACATCTAAAGCCTTATTTCCTCTTCTGCAGAATGCAATGAACACGTCCTCCTAACAAATTCTGAATTTGTTTCACAAGGACGAGAGAGTATACAAGAAAGCTCTGGGAGGCAGCGTTAAGACTGTGGATTCAAGCTAGGTCCACCGGGTTAAAATCCTGGTTCCTTAGCTCACATGTTCTGGGAATTTGACACATTACTTAGCCTCTCTGGCCTCAGTGTTCTCATCTATAAATGGGGATCATTGTAGTACCTACCTCATGGGAAAATTAGAAGATTTGCGCGACTTTGAGAGAAATCCCCTAGACGGTAATTAGCACAGGAGGTTCTCTGCTGTGAACTGCCGTTATTATTCCTATTACTGTGTCCAGGGAAATGTGCTCCTGAGAAAATTTACATTAACAGAAATATAAATAAAATTTGTTAACATCATTCCATATAAATTAAAATTTTATAACATATTACATAATTAACATAAGGAAACCAAATTTATATTAAGCCAGTTTTTCTGAAAAATTGTGGTTGGGCAGTTTTTGTTTTCTTTATTTTTAATGTTCACAAGTCAGGGTGTGATGTGTTCTTGAGGGAGTAACGACTTTGCTGAGACACATCCACATACCACATGCACCCATTTCAAGCACATAACTCAGTGTGCGTGTGTGCTGAAGGGGAGCATTGGGGGAGCTCTGGAATTCTTCTACCCCTTTCTCTCTCAGCCTCCCCTGGCCTTGCTGTGCATCCAGCCTCGGTTCTGGGTGAGCTGAGGGCATCCCAGGTGCAGGGCAAAGGAGGCTTCTGTCTGAACTGTTCAGTTTTCTTTTTTGGGATAGCAGGGCCCCGGAAGGGCATGGCACAGGATGGGGTGACCCTGCTTCTCTGGCTTGCCTCCCCAGAGCACCTGAAGGAGCGCTTGGCCAATGAGCTGTCCAGCCTGCCCAAGGTGCGTCTGATCCGCGCCAACAAGAGGGAGGGCCTGGTGCGAGCCCGGCTTCTGGGCGCTTCTGCGGCGAAGGGTGAAGTGCTGACCTTCCTGGACTGCCACTGTGAGTGCCATGAGGGTTGGCTTGAGCCGCTGCTGCAGAGGTGAGCAGTGTGGGCGGGGGCCGCACATGGTGTAGAAGCAGAAACTTCTTACCTGGGTATAGGGGGCTGCCGGGCACCTGGGTTCAGATGGCCCTTGGGCAGTCCTCTGTCAGTGAGCATGATAACAGCCCTTGCCCCACAGGGCTACAGAGGCCATTCAATGAATTAATACATATACACAGTCCTTAGAACATGCTAGCATGTAGGAGGCCCTATTAGTGTTTCTTTTATTCCTACTTATTTTACATGCTTACTGTGGAAGAAAAAAAAATATCAATCACATAGAATCATGTGGTTTAAGAATATATATTTTGGCATATTTCCTTCAAGCAAGGCTGTCTTATCCATTATACCCCATGCCTATGATGCTTAGGACCCATGAACCTTTAACAGACCCAAAAAATGTTTTTATATTAATTTTTTTTCAATCAGAAGCTAATGACTGCACATTAATGAATTTAGCCTGGATGGTGTTTGTCCCTATATCAACATAGTCATAAAAGAGAGTCCTTTCTTTCTTTTTTTCTTTCTTTCTTGAGCCATGAAAAGTCATAATACAGCCCTATCTTCAAGGACATGTCTCCTGCTGTCCCATGGCGTGTTCCCCTGACCCTCCCAATCTGCCTGTCCTCCAAAACTACTGTCACCGGGCCCCCGCTTTTGTTCTCATCCCTCTTTCTCTCCCTGTTCTCCCGATTCTGCATCATAGCAGTCAGGAGCTGGACTGGCTGACTCGGAGCTCTGCCAGGTTGGGGGGGAAGGGTCAAGGTCAAGGTTGGGGGGTCTGTCTCTGGTCCCTCCCTGTGGAGCAGGTGAAGGGTTGGAGGACCAGGGTCTCCACAGTTGGCAGACTGTGGCCTCTAGTGCTTTGGTGCCAGAGTCTGTCTGGAAGAACTGGGGACCCACTGACCTCCCTTCCTGTGTGAGAGCAGGCTCCCCCCTATTCTGCTACTTCTGCTGTCCTCGGTCCTGTCCCCTGTGGGTGCCACAGCTGCCTCTTTCTCCTCCTCAGCTCTGCTGAGCTTCACTAGCAGCAGGAACCCAGGGTTTCCCTGGCCTGTGATGGAGTCTGAGGGTGTTTAGAACATGGTGACACTTAAGAGTTTCCTCTGGAACCTGGACCGGTGGGTTTGGCCTTCACCCCCTCCCCACTGTGCGCACAGATGGCTACCTTGAGGCCAGTCTAAAGGCAGCAATGTGCTAACGCTTCCCAGAATTCTGCTCCTGCCCATCCCTGGGAGGCAGCAAGGCAGCCCTCCCCATAGATAAGTCCTTGTTCCATATCTCTAGACAAAAGCACCCCACCTGGGGAATTTGTAAAATATACCAGCTCCTGTTCTCACAGCAGACTCTTTGGATCTGAATCTCTGAGGGTAGGCCTGGGCTTCTGGGTGTTTCTGAAGCTCCCAGGGACCTAGGTGGGCACCAGAGTTGGCACACACTGGTCCCTTAGACTGTCCAACAGGAACAGTAACCCCGTTCCTCTGGGGCTTATGGAATAGATCTTTGGTTCCCAAGCTCCTGGTGATTTCTGAGCTGTGGACTAGGGATGCCGGACAGCCCACGGCGTGCAGCTCAGCCCTACGCAACAAAGAATGGTTTAGCCCCAGATGCCGGTAGCACACCCCCTTCTTCCCCACCTCTTCCCCCACCGTGGTGCACGCTGCTACTGGGCCTGCTCATTGTGCGACTCTACTCCAGGGGCCTTTCTGCCAATGCTGGCTCTCCCCAGTTTTCCTTTTCCTGTAAAAATATGGCTCCCCTTGGTTCCGACCAGCTTGATTGCAAGTCACAGGTTCTTGTCTGTGCCAGGGGCTAAGCAGCTTCTTTGAACCTGCCCAGTGGGTCTGCCATTGGTCCCCTCAAACCTTTTCAGAGCACCCTCAGTTTATTGAAAGAATTGGGTGTTAGTAGTACCTGGTCTGCGTCTTCCTCGCTTTAGAGAATTCGCAGATTTTATTCATACTGTCTATCCCAAACAGTGCAATTTCACCTAATACTGTAATACTTACTGAAGTGTGGTATTCACACCACCGACTTTCTGGTATTATTCTAAGGACTCTTAAAGCTCGAGTCTGCTTTATCTCTGTTTCTTCACACCATTATTCTGTGGGACTTAGGATTTTTAGGTCTCAAACTCCAGAGAAAACCCCCCAAAATGGAACCCAGAGAAATCCAGTGTTCACACACAGCTCAGTCTCAACTCCTCTTACCTGATGTGTCGTCAAATGCAGAGTACCCACACGATGTGGCAGCGTGCTGAAGGACGCTGAAGGATGCTTGGGTCTGCAGTCATGACTGGGGAGAGCAGCTGAAGCAGACACGTGGGCTGATACCTGCCGTGGGAAGTCAGCGTTTCTCGCTTTAATACCGTATAACATTTCACAATAACAAGAATTAAAAGAATAACAGTAGATCCAGGCTCTCTGTCAGTCATCTTTTACAAACATTCCCTCAGGGAGTCCTTCCATTAACCCATTAAGAGTAGGTATTGATGCAGCTGTGTTAACTATGGGCAATAGACTCAGAGAGGTTAGGTGACTTGGCTAAGGCAGGATTCAAATTTCTTTTCTAACTCCAAAGCTGATCCCCTGGTCTGGGCGCATCTCTGTTCTGAAGGGGGATAATTATTTCTTGACATGAAGATGTTTCATTGTGATTACATGAAGAAACCTCTTGCCGTCTTTAGACGCTGGAAGTCTATTTTCTGTTCTAAAAGTGGTGGTTTTCACATGTCTCGACTTTCATGGAGGGACTCAAGTTTATGCAGCAGAGCCATAGACAGAATCAGAACATAAAAGCTGTGGGACCGTCCATCTTCAAGCCAGAATCCTTCTTTCCTCAGCTTCCCCTGTCACCTGAGCATTCCCTCTGATGATCGCCTTCCAGGGTGTGATGTGGCCGCAGGCCTTTCTCACACAGGTGCTCCTCCTTCCCTATGGAAGGAGGAAGAGATCTCTTCCCCAAGCTCCCTTCTCATTCCCCGGCCACCTGTCTGCGCAGAGAGGCACACGTGGCGTCCTGGTGTTCACAGGATTGGCAAAGAGGAGTCAGCGGTGGTGTGCCCTGTGATCGATGTGATTGACTGGAACACGTTTGAGTACCTGGGCAACCCTGGGGAGCCTCAGATCGGCGGCTTCGACTGGAGGCTGGTGTTCACGTGGCATGTGGTCCCCGAGAGGGAGAGGGTGCGGATGCGGTCCCCCATTGATGTCATCAGGTGAGGGGGGACTTCCAGGCGCTCACTCTTGGAGCGGGCCTTGTTGCGTCTGGCTGTCGTGTCAGGGAGGGCCCCTGGGAGGGCAGGTTGGCTCTTGCTCCCTCATTTTCTCCAGAGCATTTGTTTACTTTTATTAAAAAGCTTTGCTGCAGGGCACCTGGGTGGCTCAGTTGGTTAAGCGACTGCTTTTGGCTCATGGTCCTGGAGCCCCGGGATCGAGTCCCGCGTTAGGCTCCCAGCTCCACAGGGAGTCTGCTTCTCCCTCTGACCCTCTCCCCTCTCATGCTCTCTCTCACTCTCTCTCAAATAAATAAATAAAATCTTTAAAAAAAAAAGCTTTGCTCCACACATGAATTTTATATTGGTACACTTTATTGATTGATTTACTTATTTAAAAAAACTGTGGTAAAATGTGTATAACATAAAATTTCCCACTTTCACTCTTTTTAAGTGTCATTCAGGGGCATCAAGCACATTCACAATATTGTACAACCATCACCTCTATATACTTCCAGGACATTTTCATTGTCCTGTCCAGAAACTCTATACCCATCAAGCAATGACTTCCCTTTCTCTCCTTTCACTCCTGGTAACTACTTAATCCTGTCCCTATGGATTTCTCTAGTCTAGATTGCTCATATAAGTGGGATCACACAACACTTGTCCTTTTGTGTCCAGCTTGCTTTACTTAACATCATGTTTTCAAGGTTCTTCTAGAACTCCATTTATTTTTCATGGCTGAATAATATTCCACTGTATATATACCCATGTTTGATTATCCATCTACCTGCTGACGGACCCTTGGGTTGTTTCTACCTTTTGGTTATCGTAAACAGGGCTGCTGTGGATGTTGAGATACTGTTATCTGTTTGAGTCCTTGTTATCAGTTTTTTGGGTTGTATACCTAGGAGTGCAATTGGTGGGTCATATGATAATTTCAAGCTTAACATTTTGAGGACATGGTGTCAGGTGCTTTTTCAACTGGGTAGACCTGGGGCTGAATGGGCCACCTTTCACCAGTGAGTGAGCCTGGGTCTGAGTAGAGTGGGCTTAAAGGGGGCTCAGTTGCTCTCTCCTTCGTTGAGGTCTTGATATGATAGCATGGCTTCTTCTTCCCCTTCCAAGTTCAGGACCAAATGGGAGGCAGATATGGGAATGAGGGGGATGGAGGTCAAACATCAGCTTTACTGCTGGTGAACGGAACTGGAAGTGGTGTCTTAGATCAGCACCCTTGTTTGGCAGGTGGGCTTCTGGATCTTCCACCTGAGCTCTGACCATGAGGTGACTCACTGCTGAGCAGAGGGAAACACCTGTGGGAATGGTGTTGAGAGATGGGGGAAGAGAGATGAATGGGGCCAAGTCATGTTCAGCCTGGAAGGCCAAGAACAGGGCTTTGGACTTTGAGAGGGTAGAAGCTGCTGGAGGGATTTGAACTGGAAATGACCATTGCCTGTTGCATTCTTTAAAGGTTGCTGGATGCCACGTGGTGAGGGGCCTGCAGGGGGTGGGGCAGAGGGCAGCAACATCATTAGGAGGCATCGTAGTCTTCCAGTCAGAAGGGATGGTGCAGGAGAAGATGGAAGGAAATGAAGGACTCTGGGGATGTTGCAGTGGAAGAATTGCAAGAGACTGAAGGAAAATGGGGGAGGGAGAGATTAGGTGATGCCCAAGCTTCTGTGGGAGTACTGAGGGACATCCTACCCAAACTTTCACTGAACAGATTTGTAAACTGAGGCTCAGAGTAGGAAGGATCCTATCTAGGTTCACCTAAACAGCTTGGGACGCTGACCTGAACTCCCATGGTCCTCCCCCATTACCTGAGTACACACAGGTACTCAGGGGATGTCATGGCCAACTCCCGTTCCCTTCCTGTACTATCCCTGGGCCTCAGTTTCCTCACCTGTGAAATAGATACCAGCCTATCCACTCTGCCTCCTTCTGAGACTTTTAGGATGAACACACACGAAAGAGTTGTGTAGTCTAGAGCCTTCCCTTCCACGAGGACCTTGCTGTCCTTTTCCCGTTGGGCCAGCGCTTGGAGCACAGGGAAAGCCAATACTTTGTCAGGGGCCATGATTGCTGCTGGAAGACCTTAACATTTGTAGACAGTCAGGCTCTTAATGAAGTTTAGTTCTCCATTTCCGAATGCGTCCTTTTATATCTGCGTCTCCTGGTGTGTTGACCCTACAGCTTTCTGCTGTGGTAGGATGGAAGCCTTGGGCCCTTTCTGGAACATCAGGCCAGGTGAAGAAGCAGGCCAGTGCTGGCCATCTGGGTCCTGGAGGGGAGGCCACTCATGCAGGAGAGGAACGGGCCCTGGGAGAGCTTTAAGATGACAGCGTTGCCTTCCATGGTCTTCGATAGCCCTAAGGGCAACCATGCTTGCCCTCCCTATGACTGTACGGCCAACTCCACCCAAGCAAGGCACTAGCCATCTTCTTGGGGAGCATTTTTCTCTCCTTGACTCTCCTTGTCTGTGTTTCTAGAAGGACGAGGTTTTCTCTCACCCTCAGGCCTCTGCTCATGCTGGTGTCTTTTTGAAGAACGATTCCATTCCTCTTCTCTGCCATCTCCCCTGTGTTCTTCAGGCTGAGGCCTACCCACCTGCCCCAGGCCTCCCTCTGTGTGCCCCCGGGGCTCTGGCTTGACCAGAGTGCTCTCACACTCAGTGCTGGTTGAGATGTCCATGAGCTTCCCCAGAGCAGGGACCATGAGGCACATCTCTGCCTCCAGGCTCAGCTTAGCTCCTGGCACAGATTGTGAACTCAGGACGTGCTTAGAGATGGATGGGCAGCCAGAGGGCTTGGGGCGGGCAGGAGTTCAACTGTGCTGGCTTCCTGCCATCATTCACATCGCAATATGGTTCTCACACTCTTCTAGGTCTCCAACGATGGCTGGAGGGCTGTTTGCTGTGAGTAAGAAATATTTTGAGTATCTGGGGTCTTATGATACAGGAATGGAAGTTTGGGGCGGAGAAAACCTGGAATTCTCCTTTAGGGTAAGTATTCCAGTTTTCTCTTTGGACTCATTCTTAACCTGTTCTCTCTCTCTCTCTCTCTCTCTCTCTCAATCTCTCTCTCTTGAGGAATGATGGGATTTGCTAGGAGACCCTGGTGGACTTTTCCTTCATGTTGGCAAATTTTATCTACCAGTCCTGAAATATGATAGTAGTGGCATAGACATCCTATAAACATGCTTGTCTTCTTGTTTGAGCCTTAAAAAAAAAACTTACTTTTCATAGATTCGGGGCAAGGAAGCCTCTCCCTTGAGAAGTCACCTAGTTCTTTTCTCCCACTACAACAGGGAGGAACTGGGGCCCAGACAGGGGAGGTGATGGGGTCAGGGTCACCCAAACAGTGAGTGGCAAACACTGGGCTCAAACACAGGCCCCTGCCTCCTGACCCCATCTTTGGGAACCCTGATTTGCTTAATTACCCTGTTTGGTACAGTAACTTTCCAGCTTGGCCACACATGAAAATTGTTAGGGAGACTTGCTAAAAAGGCAGATTTATAAGTACAGTCCCCAGAAAGTCAGCTTTGATGGATTTTCAGTTGGGACCAGGAATCTGCTTTTTGGAACAAGCCCACCTACTAGTTCTGCTGCGTGTGACCCCTAGATGCCCCTTGGAGAGACCGCTAACATTTCAATGCGGTTTCCAGCTCACCAAATCCTGCATTTTAAAGTATCAAAAGTTTATGTCAGTGTCTGTACTTTTTAATAGAAAAAAGTTATTTTTCTGTAGATTTTATTTATTTGATAGAGAGAGAGATCACAAGTAGGCGGGTGGGGGGGAAGCAGGCTCCCTGCTGAGCAGAGAGCTGATGTAGGGCTCTATGCCAGAACCCTGAGATCATGACCTGAGCCGAAGGCAGAGGCTTAACCCACTGAGTCTCCCAGGTGCCCCTAATAGAAAAATTTTAAGTTTCAATAATGTTTCCTGCTTTGAAAGAGTTTATAAGAATTGGCCCTCCCCCAAAGACTCACATCCCGCATTTTAAGTACCAGATCCTATCCCTGGTCACACATCCTTGGGACAGGTGTTCCCAACCATCTGCCCCCGGCATGAAATGCTCTCAGACAAGGCAGCCTGGTCAGGTGTTGGGTGTGCTTTTAATGGTCTTTCTGCCTCTTCCCTAGGTGTCAGTCTGCTCTGCCTACCTCTAGAAGTTCTTCCTTTCTCCCTTCCAAACCTCTCTTCTTACTTGCTGCTTTCCTATCTTCTGTGGCTAGGAGACCAGGTAAAGAGCCTGTGTTTTACATGATGAGTAAATGGGTTCCTGGTGAGGTCAGCTATGGGGGCTCCTTGGGTCAAGTGCATGAGCTTTAGTGCATGGACTGCAGGGTCTCGCTTCTGATGGTTTATTCATCTTCGGGGCTATGTTCTTGCTCTTTGACTGTGTTCTGCATATGCTGGGGAGGTGGCCTCCTGTCCCGTAGAGGGTGAAGCCCTGGCTGTGTTCATCGTGATGTCTATGTGCCCGGCCTCCAGGCTGCGGGCATTGTGGACCCACAGCCCGTCCCCCACTCACCTGCCGGCCTCCTCCCTGCTCTGTGCACAGATCTGGCAGTGCGGTGGGACCCTGGAGACACACCCCTGCTCGCATGTTGGCCACGTTTTCCCCAAGCAAGCTCCCTACTCCCGCAACAAGGCTCTGGCCAACTGCGTCCGAGCCGCCGAAGTGTGGATGGATGAATTTAAAGAGCTCTACTACCATCGCAACCCGCACGCCCGCTTGGTGAGTTCCCCGGCCCACCTGCAGCCACCACCTACCCCCCCCCCACCGCCGGCTGGCCGTTTCCAAACCAAAGCAGCCGATTCTGGCTTCCCCGCCCCCAGCGAACTGGTTCCAGAAATAGAGACTAACTCAAGCACCCATGATATAAGTCTGGGAACCCCTTATTCCTCCCACTTAGAATAATACCGACTGCTGCTTCTCATTAGTCACAGTAATGATGGGCTGTGCTGTTATCACCAACCCTGATTTCCAGACTACTGAACCACACTGCTCCTGGGGGACTGCGGGGCTAGGTTCCCTCATGCCTCCCGTGGTCTGACGTTTTTGCCAGCTGATCAACACCTAACTTGGTTTCATGTGTATTTCTGTTGAAAGACATTATGATGTATATATTGTCGATTCTTTACACCAGACTCATGGCCAACAGCACTGTGACACGTGCCCAAGTGAAGCCCATCCCACCCATGTAATTTCTCTGTCAGGCCCAGCATGGCCTTCTTGAACCTAGGAATGCTAGCCAGCCCTCCAGCATGGTGCTTGGGGGTGCTTTTGAACAGTGATGTCACCAACACAGAGCGGCAAAACCTTGAAAATGTGGCACTAGACAAGGCAGATCCCAAACAGGACACTTGTTGACAGTATGGGAACTGAGACGTGACCTCAGCTAGGAGCGTCCTGTGGGGTGACTATGATTTCTGGCCACTCTGCTCATGTCTGCGAGTGATGGAGAAGGTGTGGAACCACAAAGACATTTCAGCGAGTAGGTCCACTGCCTCTACACGGGCCAGCTCTCTACAGGCCCCGGCACAGGGTACCCACCTGTGTCAGCATAACTCAGAGGGCTGCTTGGCAAGATGAGATGTGCTGTAAACACTCTCGATTCTGGCCACTTGAGGAAAATCTCTTCTTCTGAATCCTTAGCGAGCCCTTCAGGATAGCTGTGAAATTCTCATTTTTTAGATGACAGAGGGAAGCTCAGAGAGCTTGCCCAAGGCCTTGTGGGTGATGCAGACAGATCTGGGCCTGGGGTGTGTGCCCTCCCATAGATCCCTCTCCCTGCTCTGCTGAGCCCTGTGAAGCTGCCCCGACCTCCCCCTTGGCCCTTTTCCGCCTCTGGACGCCAGGGTCACGGCTTCCTCTGTCCTGCCACGGCCACAGGATGGAAACATCAGCTCCTTTCTCTAACCCAGGCTGGAAGCCCCAGTTCCCTCTTCCTGAGGATTCCCAAGGAATAACATAGGGTCATGGCCTATGCCTTTGGTCTGGATGCCTGGGACCCAGCATTAAAATGGGCATCTGGTTGAAGGGGAGGACCCCGTGACTCACCAAAGAAAGAACTGCTGGGAAATAAGTAAAAATCTGAAATTTTACTCAGCCAGTTTTCTATCATTACCATTTTGCTATCTAGCTTGTCACATTTTGATACTCTAGCATCATGAGGCAGGGACAGTAACATGTCAGCCCTCGGCTTTGTGCCTCTGGCCGTGCTAAGTAGACACTTGCTTTTATTCAGTTACAGGGAAGTTCTCAATCCTTGGTCTGGTGCAGAAAACTGACCTCCCGCCAGTATTTATCATCGTGGAGCTTTGCGCTCGCCACTCCAAGTATATGTTCCAACGTCAGTATGTTGAGCACACAAGGTCTTTGAGCGTGATGACATCGAGGATGCTTGACCTGTGTTTGAAAGTGCATGCTCAGGGGCGCCTGGGTGGCTCAGTGGGTTAAAGCCTCTACCTTTGGCTCGGGTCATGATCCCAGGGTCCTGGGATCGAGCCCTGCGTCGGGCTGTCTGCTCAGCAGGGAGCCTGCTTCCTCCTCTCTCTCTGCCTGCCTCTCGGCCTGCTTGTGATCTCTGTCGGTCAAATGAATAAATAAAATCTCTAAAAAAAAAAAAAAAAAAAAGAAAGTGCACGCTCAGGGATCCGTCGTTCAGAAGGTCCTGGTGGATGTGCTCTACAGATGGTCGCTGGTCTGGGATCACACGCTCACCAACGTGCAGGCCCGGGACCCAGTGCAGCCCCAGGACCCTGCGGCTCCCCGACTTCATCACCAGGAGCTTTGTGTTGTGTAGCTGGCTGAGCCTCCCTGAAGCGAGGAACCCCGAGAAGGCAGTCGTTTGTGTGACCGTGTTGGCTGCCGGGGAGCGACAGCTGTGTCTGAGGCTGGTCTGAGCCTCTGAGCCTGTGCGGGGCCTGGCACTCTGGAGGTGCTCAGTGCTGCTGAGGAAGGAGCGTCCGTGGAGAGGGGGCCACAGGGACTCACTGTCTTTGCTGTTTTCTCAGGAACCCTTTGGGGATGTGACGGAGAGGAAGCAGCTCCGTGCAAAGCTCCAGTGTAAGGACTTCAGGTGGTTCTTGGAGAACGTGTACCCAGAACTGCACGTGCCTGAGGACCGGCCTGGTTTCTTCGGGATGGTGAGCGAGCATGTGGCGGGCTGGGAGTTTCCTGATCAACAAAACCTGGCTAAGAAAGGCCCCTTTACGGGGACTGCTGGCCTTCCTCTCCCTCCCTCCCCTCCTGCATTCAGGCATTGTCTTTCCTTCTCCCCATCTCTGGGCCTCGGGTCCAGAATGTCAGTACTAGAAACCACCTCCAAACTGGTGAGTATAAGCCTCCCATTTTATAGATGAGGAGACTGAGGCTCACTTAGTGCTTCCATGTCCAGTGTCAGTCACCTTGCTTCAGTCTTCAGTGGCTGGACCAGTTAATAATTCCCTACTCAGGGATTCATAAAGGCAGTAATGGAGGGAGATGCGTCATTTCTGTTATTTTAAAGAACCTGAAAGAAATGTTTCTGGGATGAAGTCAACTAAAATGTCCAGTGCCTTTGGCTTTTGGGAGGAAATATCCCAACTTAGGGAGGTCGCCTGTGTCATGTTGATCAGAAGTGCCTGTGTTCTATTCTGGAAGTCTTTGATAAATGCAAAGCAGGACACCCTATGACCAACTAATCTTAGACAAAATAGGAAAGAATATCCAGTGGAAAAAAAGCTATTCTCTTCAACAAATGGTGTTGGGAAAATTGGACAGCCACATGCAAAAGAATGAAACTGGACCATTTTCCTATACCATACATAAAGATAAACTCAAAATGGATGAAAGACCTCAATGTGAGACAGGAATCCATCAAAATCCTAGGAAACAACAAGTGTTGGCGAGGATGTGGAGAAAGGGGATCCCTCCTACACTGTTGGTGGGCATGCAAGCTTGTGCAGCCACTTTGGAAAACAGTATGGAGGTTCCTCAAAAAGTTAAAAACAGGAAAAAGTTAAAAACAGGGGCGCCTGGGGGTGCCTGGGTGGCTCAGTGGGTTAAAGCCTCTGCCTTTGGCTCAGGTCGTGATCCCAGGGTCCTGGGATCAAGCCCCGCATCAGGCTCTGCTCCGTGGGGAGCCTACTTCCTCTCTCTCTCTGCCTGCCTCTCTGCCTACTTGTGATCTCTGTCTGTCAAATAAATAAATAAAATCTTAAAAAAAACAAAACAAAACAGGGGCGCCTGGGTGGCTCAGTGGGTTAAAGCCTCTGCCTTCGGCTCAGGTCATGATCTCAGGGTCCTGGGATCGAGCCCCATCGGGCTCTCTGCTCAGCAGAGAGCCTGCTTCCTCCTCTCTCTCTGCCTACTTATGATCGCTGTCTATTAAATAAATAAAATATTTAAAAAAAAAGTTAAAAACAGAGCTATGACCCAGCAATTGCACTACTGTTTATCCAAAGGATACAAACATAGTGATTCGAAGGGGCACATGTCCACAAAACAGCAGCAATGTCCACAACAGCCAAACTATGGAAAGAGCCCAGATGTCCATTGATAGCTGAATGGATAAAGCAGATGTGGTGTGTACATATATATATTGATTGGAATATTACTTGGCCATCCAAAATAGTGAAATCTTGACTTCTGCAATGAACTAGAAGGTATTAAGCTAAGTGAAATAAGTTAATCAGAGAAAGACAATTATATCATTTCACTCATATGTGGAATTTAAGAAACAAGATGAACATGGGGAAGAAAAGGAAAAATAAAGTAAGATGAAAACAGAAAGGGAGGCAAACTGTAAGATTCTTAACTCTAGGAAACAAACTGCAGGTTGCTGGAGGAGAGCAGGGTTGGGGGATGGGACTGCTGGGTGATGGACATAAAGGAGGGCACATGATATAATGAGCACTGGGTCTTATATGAGACTGATAAATCACTAAATTCTACCTCTGAAACTAAAAAGAGAGAGAGATAGAATTGCAAGCACATTGCATGGAACGTGAGTTCTCTGTGACTGTGAACTAAATCAGAACCAATTACATCTTCAGTCACCTAAAAAACATAAAAGAAACACCGTGAACAACTATCTCCCTAATAGGTGGGGTCTCTTGACTGTTTCTAAATCTCTGGCTCTTTTGATGAAATTTTCATTCACCCAACGTATTTGTATTTCTCAAGAGTGTCTGTAACTTTCAGAATACCCCAACTTTAATATTTACATGGAGTTTACCCTGTGCTAGGCACTGCTCTGGGCATCGGGGTTTGATGGTGGAAGGACGACCACTATCCCACCTTCAAGAAGTGTATTGTCTATGAGGGAGGTGGACATTAAATAAATAATCACACACAAAAAATAAATACAGAGCAGGCCATTAATGCATTAAATTCAATTTTCATTGTGAAAATGTCCAAGCAGAGAGCATGGTGTAAGGAACTCTGTCCTGAAGAATCTAGAATCATCATGATTTCGCCTCTCCTGCTTTCTGGCTCCTCTGCTCCCTCCTCTCACAATTTTTCTTTGCTCAGGCACACCCTGGGCATCACGTCATCTCAGTCCTGGTCACTGTCACATGCGTGTCTGTGTGGATATGATCTCATACAACCACAGACCATTATCACACCCAATCTGAGGAGCAATCATTTCTTCATTTCCTTTCCTATCAAGCCCTTATCAGATTCCCCCTATTTTTCACATCTTTCTTGGGATAGTTGACTTGTTCTGATGGGGATCAAACCCGGTCTACCCATTGTGTTTGGCTGCCATGTCTTTCCTCCCAGGACTCTTTGAGCTAAGGCAGACCTCTTCCCTTTCTTCCCCTCCTTTAGCTGATAACTGTTAAAAACAAAACAAAACAAAAAAAAACGACCAGCATCTGTTGTCCTGTAGAAAGTCTCACCCTTGGGGTTACCTCATTATCTCCCTGTGGGTCTTAAATGGTGCCTCTCTCACCCACCCTTCTTAAACTAGAAATGAGGTCTAAAGCCTTGACTGGAGTGGGAATCGACCTTTTATGGCAAGGACACTTCCTGGATGCACTCTGGGTTCCAACTGCGTCAACAGCGGGAGCACCTCACCTCTGGTCTCCTGCCTCTAGTGACAAGGGAGCCTCTCCCGGACCAGCTGCTCTCAGGGGCCATTCAGCCTTCTGTCTCATGTTTCTGGTGGCTGTTGACAATCATGGCCTAGGCTCATATTTCTTCTTAAATATGGAAGGTTTCACAAATTTGCTTGTCATCCTTAAGCAGGGCCCACCCTGATCTTCTCCACATCGTTCTAATTTTAGCATATGTGCTGCGCAAGCTAGCCCTAGACCCGTATTTCAGATGGCATTGCCAATCAGGGCTTTTTCTAGTGCTTTCGTTCCTTCTGCACCATGAGCCGAGATTCTTCTGTAAAGAAGAGTGTTCCCTCGCTAACCAGGAAAGTTTGGTATCTACGAAATTTAGAGTTCATTCAGAAAAGGCGTAACCCATTTTTCAGTCTTTCTCTTTATTTGCCTGTTTTCAGGGTAAGAGTTGGTGCTCCAGTTTGCTCCGCTGGGGCGGAATGGGTTGTTTTTGTTTGTTTGTTGGCTCATTTGCATTTTGGCTTTTTTTTCTTGAGCAACATTGTAAACCAATGGGCTTTTATATAGCCAATGTGCTTCAGTCAATTAGTCTGGTGTGTGTGTGAGTGTGTGTGTGTGTGTGTGTGTGTGTGTGTGTGTGTGTGTGTGTTTTCTTTTAACTGCTCAGGTTGCCTGTCTTTGGCTAGTGAGAATCTCTTTATTTTGGCTTCTAGGATCTTGACCCCTTCTATTGGTTTGATCACCTCCTTGATTCTGGCCACATTTGTCTTCTCCATCTGCTGCTATCCTTCCCAGAAGCCCCAACACTTTCTGTGGGGGGCAGTGGTCAGAGCCCACAGTCTGGATGCCAGTGATGGTCTTTGTCTCTAGATCACACACCACAACCGAAACCCAATGCTAGTCACATAAGTAATGGGACATTTTTTAGTGGCCATGTTTTTAAAAAAGGAGCATGTAAAGTTTATAATATATTTTAATTCAGTATACCCCCAATATTATTAGCTTTAACACTTGTTTTCACACTGAGTCTTGAAATCTGCTGTGTATTTTATCTTTACAGCGTGTCTCAGTGTGGACTTAGCCCCGTCAGATGCCCTGGGCCGCGTGCTGCCAGTGGGTACCATGTGGGACAGCCCAGCACTATAGCTTTTCAGTAGGCAGAGAAAGGAAATGTGTATTTTTGAGAAACAAATTGTGAGCTCATACTGATATCTCAAATTCAAATGTAATCTTACAGGATTTTTTTCTTCTTTGATATTACACTTGTATTTCTTCTTCTTTTTTAAGATTTTATTTATTTATTTGACAGAGAGAGAGAGAGAGCGCGTGAGCACAAGCAGGGAGAGGGGCAGAGAGAGAGGGAGAAGCAGGTTCCCCACTGAGCAGGGACCCTGATGTGGGGCTCGATCCCAGGACCCTGAGATCATGACCTGAGGCTTAACCCTCTGAGCCACCCAGGCGCCCCTATGTTAAACTTTTATTTAAAGTAGTTTCAAAATAATAACACACCGACAGTGTGATACTGAATGAGGTTTAAGATTTCTTTGCAGATCTATCTGTTTGTAGAATATAGTTCACTAAGGAAATGTAATCAAATATGAGATAGTCTAAAAAAATGGTATGTTCTAAAGTCACTTAATATCATTTTTTCTGTGTCTCACCAACAGGATACAGCTGGCTTATTTAATCTCAGTTTTAATCATTAGAGGCTCCCCCCAACCTCCTTTAGTATTTTTGTAGTTTCTTCCAAATCTTTCTGAACATAGGGAATTCATTTGAGGTCAAGGTCCTTTGGTGGTCAAGACATGGCTAGATGACATTTGAACCCTTCCAATTCTAAGATGCTCTGATTATTCTAAACATCTCCTATTCCCAGATTCCTTCACAAAGCAAAGAGACTCCAAGAACACGGAAGTCTGTGACTTACGAGCTGGTGGATTGTGGAAACTTCTTTCTATATGGCTGAGTCTTGTCTTCAGAAACAGCCTAGTCAAGGGTGGACAAGGGCCAGGGCAGGGGTGGGGTTCACAAGGAGTTCATTGAGGGGTCTTTGAACTCTCCAGAAAGGGGTTTAGAAAGGTGCGTGTCTTTCCCTAGAGGCTCCTGAAAGGGAAGAGGGAGCTTGGTTTTTTGCTCTTAGAATGTTTGAAGGGTTTTAGATCTAAGAGGTATCTTAGAGATGACATTAGATAGACAGCATCGAGTGATGGAGAGAGCACTGGACTTGGGAGCTGAGGTCCCGGATTCAGACTCGGGTGTCTATACTTGCGTGACTTTGGGCAAGTCATCGGCTCTGTATTATGCTGTTTCTTGTAGCCTAGAATCGTGCGCTTCTAATATGGGGGCTGGTGAGTCCCTCAATCAGGGTATCTTTTTGCAGATGCATTCTTGCAGGAGTCCTTGGTACATGTGTGAGGCAACAACCCAGCTATGCTTGGACTAGTGTAGCAATAAGGCTGCACTAACAAGAACTGGAGAGATAGGAGCTTTCAGGCCATAAAGAGTTAAAATGTCTGCAACTCAGATCTAGCATCTTAAAACGGGGGTTATGCTTCTTGCCTATGGCATAAAATGGGAAGGCACTTTCAGACCTCGAAATGTCAGGGGCTCTTCCCATTAAATCCAATTCTCGAGGCAGACACTGCTTTCTAATGGAGTCATTACCCTCAGAACCTTGGGCGGGATCTGTTGTTGCATATAAATCTGGACCAAAATGCCACCTTTATGTTTTGTTTAGCTACAGAACAAAGGACTGAAAGACTACTGCTTTGACTATAACCCTCCCAATGAAAACCAGATCATGGGACACCAGGTCCTTCTATATCTCTGTCACGGAATGGGTCAGAACCAGGTAGGTGCTGCTTCTGTCTAGCTGGACATCCCAGGGCCAGCGGGCAGCAGACAGCAGGAGGCGCTGTGCTCAAGGGACTCTTGGTATGAATCTCTCCGTTTTGTAAAAATTAAAAGTTTTGATAACAAAGATCAGAGTAAAAAAAAATAAAATAAAATAAAAAATTAAACATTTGATTTTTTTGCATGATCCAGGTAATATATGCTTATTGCAGAATATTTGAAAAATACAAAAAAAAAACCCAAAAACAAAAAACCCAACCCAGAAGCAGTAAGTGAATGACAGGACCCAGCAACCGCCATTAGAATGAAGACATATTTACTTCCCATCTCTTTGGATGCAAGGCCTTTAGATTATTGTTTGAAATAGTTATTATCATCATGTCTATGTGTTTTCTATCTCATTATTTCCACTTACTTTATCATACTTTTCTTGTGTTACTAGACATCCTTTGAGAATATCATTCCCAAGGGCCTCTTGATAAACCTTCATGCGGGTAGATTACTATTTAGTTATACCTGAGTCCCTGCCTGCCTGTCTTTGTGGTTGTAAGTGCTCCTGCCACTAACTTCTTGTCAGGAAAAAAAAAAAAGGAAAAAAAAAAAAAAAAACCCCAACAGATCTGCATTTCGGATGAGTTCCTTAGAATTAATGCTTAAATGGAATTACACGTTTTGATGCATGGTGCCACACAAAGGAGTGTTTAGAGTAACTACCAGGGGCCAGGGCAGGGCTGTCTGGGTGACGTCTGAGTTTCAGGGTGGGCAGGTGGAGACTGGGAAGGTGTGTGGCCTGGACCAGGATCCCAGCCCAAGCAGGCAGATACACCAGCAGGGCGGGGCCTGTGGAGGATGGAGGAGACGAGGTGTCAGACATCTGGAGACGAAGTGGTGGGATTAGAATTTCTTCCAACCTGGAGTCCCCCCAGGTTCTCGCCCAGTGATCTCCCTCCTTCCACATCAGACAGTGACTTGTGCATGTTGGCTGCTCCGTTTTTAGTTCTTCGAGTACACGTCCCAGAAGGAAATACGCTATAACACCCACCAGCCAGAGGCCTGCATCGCCGTGGAGGCAGGAATGGACATTCTCACCATGCATCTCTGCCAGGACACTGTCCCGGAGAATCAGAAGTTCAACTTGCAGGAGGTAAGCAAGCTGTCTCCTGCCTTCCTTGCTGTCGGTCCGGGGGCTGCCGATGGGGGGAATAGAGGGAGAGTTCTCCCACCTAGTCCTCGCAGGTCTCAGGGGGGCAGCCACATACAGGAGACTGAGGGCTTCCCTCAAAATGCTGGCAGTGTGGTGGGGGTCTGGCATTCAGCGTCAGCACCCATCATCAGTAGCATTATGGCTCCCCTCTAGTCGTCCTGCCCTCCTCCAACCTGTGGCCATGGCCATGGAAAGAGGAGCTGTGCAAACAAAGTCGAAGATGAAATGGGGTTTAAATGAGTAGAACAAATAGCCAAAGCGTAAGGGTGTGAGGTTAGGTTAGACCCAGGTAGAAGCTACTCCATGTCTTTAAGCCTCATTTTCCCCAGCTGTAGAATGGAAACCATAACAGTGGACCAGATGTATGGCAAAAATAGTCCTTGGAAACCAAGAAGTTCTACAGAAATCAGCTGTTACTTGTAGGATAAGAATGAACATCAAGAAACACAGGATAAGAAAACACCCCTTGGAGGGAGTTGGCGCTCCTTCGGAATAGTTACTGGGGGCTGGGAACTGGCTATTATTTCAGGCCTGAAACACACCAGCCACACTGCACAGCTGCAACGGGACCCGTGAATCAGTCAAATCCTTTGGTCATGAAAAAGCACTTGAGGGAATAAATCCAAAGCAAATAATTCAAAAGAAGAAAATCAGTTCTCTTTTATCTCCATGGGAAGCTTTCATTCCCAGCCTGACCCCAGGGATGGAAAGATTGGTCTCTGTTGCTTATAAATGGGTTAATTCTAGGTATGATTAGAAGGTGGAATCCATTTTCCCGTGGACAATATTATGATTAGCAGTGAAATCTGCAGGCTCCCTAGACAAGCCCTGTGCCGTGGCGCTATGCATCTGATATAAAAAATAAGACAGAAGACACCCCCGGTCTGTGGTTCTCTACAGCGCCTGCCCCCGCCTCCTTCTCTTCTCTCTTCTAACGGGAACCTGTTTGTAAGCCCTCGAGGAAGAGTCATGCAAGTGAGAAATCATAAAATTGGTTTGAAATGTCATTACAATTTTATCTTAAATTTCAGTGACCATTTAAGGAAAAAATAAGTTTCCTTAGAAGGGTGGGAGAAGAGCGGCTATATTTAATCATTTCCTTTCCTGGTGCTCTGAGGGCAACTTGGGAGCTCTCTTAAGGGTTTTAAAGGTGAATATTTTTTGCGATTCTTCTTCATAAATTTCTATTTCCAAGGTTGGTCTTTCCCTAGAACAGATATGCCACTTGTTCCGCCCTTCTGGTCCTCAGACACGATGATGTTCCCCTGGGCTGTACAGTTTATGATGGAGAGAGGTGGAGGGAAAAAACAAACTCCAGGGCCAGAGGAGAGGCTTGCTGAACTAACTCAGCAACAGCTGGGAAAAAGAAGAGAAGGAGGGAAGCATTAAAGAGGACCGTGATTTTTGGGGCTGGGGAAGTGGTCATGGTCCTGTAGAACCGATGTCTTCACAGGTGACTTACCCTCCCATCCAGCTGTTCTCTGGCTGAGCTGGAATTACAGCCAAGGTTCCTGAGTCTGCCTTTAAAAACCTAAGAGAAAGAGATCGCCAGGGATGGAATTAGTTGACCTGAGGGACGTGAAAGAGGTTAATAAGGGATCTTTGATCCTGATTTCTCTGAAGGAAAAGAACAGCCGGTAGGGAAGGAGGCCGGGAGTCTGATAGATCCCTAGAGCGGCCAGCAGGTGGCACCACCGGCCCTGACGGTGGAGTTGTGGACCCTGGTGCCAAGCTTCGGGGGACGGGGGATCCACACCTGTCCACACCTGGCCCTTCCTGTGCGCACACAGTCCCCCATTGCCTTAGCACAGGGCAGACCCTCCATGCTCAGTAACTGCTTCTGAAATGATAAAAAGTCCCCTGAGCTCTGAAGAATACATTGTAAGGAAAAAGATACTTTCTGGGGAATTATTTGGGTTTCTCTTAAATATCCGTAGTTTATCATCTCTTGTAGGATGGTTCTTTATTCCACATGCAGTCCAATAAGTGCGTTCAGGCTGAGAGGAAGGCGTTCAGTGACAGTTTCGTACCCCTCTTGCGGGACTGCACCGACTCAGAACATCAGAAATGGCTCTTCAAGGAACACATGGGATAAACTGTCACTGTATGAGGAGCTCATGGAAGGAGCAGGAAGGCCCTGGACTGTGTCCGACAGAGACTGAGCTATATCCAGTGACAGATCCACCCCCAAGCCAGCTGCTGTCCTTTGATAAGGAAGTCACTTTACAACCTGTGCAGGTGATGTTGGATTTGATAAGCTTTGTACTGATTTTGAAAACCTCAAAATTGCTCCCATATACCCTATTTTCAAAGGGTAGTCATAAATTGTTAACTCTTGGTATTCAGAGAATTAAAACCTTTAAGTATTTTTCTATCAAGATGTGTGTTCTACTGTCATGCCTTTCTATTATAATCCCTAGCAAAAAGGTGAAGGTTCTATTTTTGGTGTTTGCAGGGATTACCAACCATTAAGATGTTTGCATGGATGGAAATCAGACTCATGCAGTGTGCTCTATGTAAACTGACAACACCTCAGACATTGGGTTAGTTTTTCTCAGTGTAGACAGATGAACACTAAGATTGTTGTGTTGATGATCACCCAGAACAACTCCAGCTGTCCTGGCTACCATCAATCTGATGCCACTCTGAACTTCGGTTTCTTATTCTGTAGAATGAGAATAATGAAACCAAGCATGGAGGGGAGTCTCGAGAATGAAATCACAGAGCAGATGTGGGGTTAGTTAAGTCCCGGGCATGTAGTACGGGCTCATTAAATTTCTAGTTTCATAAATAACATATTCTAATATGTGAAGCACAATAAATTCATCAGTGGGTGTTCATCCAAAAATAAATACTAAGTAATCTGGTTATTTTATCTTTATGGGATTAAATAGCCCATCGGGAGGCGGGACTGTGGTATGAACTCCTTCCAGCATGGCTCAGTTCTCTTGTAAATGGTTAAAGCAAGAACTTTTATGTTCTCCATCTTTTCCCCTTTCTGTGTGTCCGTCTGAGCTGGATAAAGGGGTGTCAGCCCCCTCCCCCCACCGCCGGGGCATGGGAGGCAGTTCAGGCAGATGTAAAACAGATGCTGACCAAGTCCATAGGGAGTGTGAAGAGGCGTTTGTGCGCGTTCACAGGCCACTGCCACGAATCCGTTTGGCCTGTGAGTCATCCATCTTACTCCTGCAATCAACTGACACGTGGTCATTTTTTAGGATAGAGAACTAATAAGACATTTCTTAGGGTGTCAAGGGAAATATTTTTATGGACTGGGAGGCAATTTACATTTTGAGGAACACTCCCCTTCTCCGAGGGTTGGGGAGTCTGAGCCTGGGTGTCTCTCCCTGGCCCACTGGAAGGTGTGAGTTGGCCTCCAGCCCCAGGACGTGGAGCCAGGAGCCCGTCGGCCAGCTTTAGCTAAGCCGTGGTATGTCATCCCACCTTCCAGGACTCATTTCCTCATCTGCGTCACGGGGATAAGAATGTCCTTCAGAATGTTGATTTCTTAACTGCATTTTCGTCACCCTAAGGATTACAGTATGCTTCCTGAATTTATCACACTGTTTTTCAGCGGAGTATCGAGTGAATTCCAGTAAAATCTGGCAAGTTTGTATTAGTGTAGCTCTCTTTCCTACCCCCTCCTCTAGGCTATTGTGGGTGTACATGTATGTTATAAACTCAATTGAATGGTATAAATTATTACTTTAAATCATTTTAATTATTAAAAGAGTAACAGGAGAGAAAAAGCATATATAGGTGTGTGTATAAATGTGTGTGTGACACACACAGTCTGTTATATTTACCCACGTCTGCATCATTTCCACGCTGTTCCGTACGTCTTGTGACTCGGAGTCCCCTCTGGTGTCATCTTCTTTCAGCGTAAAGACTTTCTGGCATTTCATCTAGGATGGGTCTGTTAGCAACACAATCTCAGTTTTTATTTATTTGGGAATGTTTCTATTCTACCTTCAGTTTTTTGGAAGATAGCCTGGTTGAATTGAAAATGCTAATTGACAGGGACACACACACCCCCGCCACCTTCAGCTCTATGAATCTGAGATCACACCCCCTTAGTGTCACCTTTGTTTTGAGTGAGAGCTTATCTGATAATCATTGGGTTACCTGTATGTGGTGAGCGGTTTTTCTCTTGCTGCTTTTGAGATTTTTCTCTTAGACCTTAAATTCTCTTTCTCTTCAATCTGTCTCTGGCTTTCAGCAGTTTAACATATGTCTAGATGTGGTCTGTGTTTATCATATTTAGGGTTTGTTGAGCTTTGGAGAATGTTAATGTTTTTAAAATCAGTTTGGGAAGGTCTACGGCCATTATTTCTTCATTATTTTTCCTGCCCCTCGGTCCTTCAAGTTGGATAACGTCTATCTGCTTTCTTTAAGTTCATCTCTCTTCTTCTGCCATCTCAAACCTGCTGCTGAGCTTATAGTCACTTTACTTCGGTTATTAGACTTCTCACTGCTGAATACCCATTTGGTTCTTTCCGTAGTACCCGTCTCTGTGTTTGAAATTAGATTCATTATCACAAGCACATTTTCATTTAGTTGTTTGAATATAGTTTTTAAAAATTCTTTGAATATATTTGTAATAACTGCTTTGAAGCCTTTGTACCATAGCAGTTTAAAACATTAAAGACATCATCTTACAGTCTCTGTAGGTCCGATCTGGGGCATGGCTTCACTAGCGTCTCTGCTCAGGGGCTCCCAAGTCTGCAGCGAGGGGTCCACCTGGGCTGTGATCTCTTCTGAGACTCAGGGTCCTCCTCCAAGCCCCCTGGCTGTTGGTGGTATTCAATTCCCTGGGGCCACAGAACAGAGGACCTCAGCTCTAAAAGGTCACTGTCTGCTCCCTGCCATCTGGCCCTCTCCACAATGTGATAGTTTGCTTCTCGAGGGCCAGTGGGAGAGTGCCTGTTGCTGATTCTTGGCTCTTTTTAGGGCTCACTTGATTAGGTCACGTTGACCCAGGATAATCTCCTAACTCAAAAGTCATCTGACTCGACATGAATTTCTTCAGGGCAGCGGTATCCCGTCACATTCCCAGGTCCTGCCCCCACTCCAGGACGGGGGAGGAGACTGTCCAGAGCATGTTCACCAGGAGGCAGGAAACTCGGAGCTTATCTAAAATTCATAGCCTGTCCTCTGGCCCCCAAGTAGTTTATGCCCCTTCCATGTGAAATATATATTCACTCCTTCCCCGGGCTCCTGAGTCTCATCTCACTACAGTATGAGTTCAGAGCCCCAAATTACATCATCTGAATCTAAAACTCATCAGCTGAAAGTTCAAAACCTAAGTCAGGTCCTGGTCCAGATGAGGCTTCTGGGTGTCCCCCAACAGGTGTGGCAGCCATGACACCGTTCCCCTCTAGCCACGGGCCTGATAAGCCAAGGGGACAGGTTCTTAGCCCTGCCGTGGCCAGCACACGGAAGTGGGAAGCTGGTTACAGACATTATATCTCAGACAGGGGGAAATGAAGGTTAGAAGGAGCCATGGGTCCATAAGACTTTTAAAATTGAGCTAGATAATGCGAAAATTCTCACCAAAATACTAGCCAGTAGGATCCAACAGTACATTAAAAGGATTATTCACCATGACCAAGTGGGTTTTATTACTGGGCTGCATGGTTGGTTCAACATTCGCAAATCAATCACTGTGATACAATACATTAATAAAAGAAAGAACAAGCGCTTTATAATAACTCTCAATAGATGCTGAAAAAGCATTTGACAGGGGTGCCTGGGTGGCTCAGTGGGCTAAGCCTCTGCCTTCGGCTCAGGTCATGATCTCAGGGTCCCGGGATCGAGCCCTGCATCAGGCTCTCTGCTCAGCAGGGAGCCTGCTTCCTCCTCTCTCTGCCTGCCTCTCTGCCTACTTGTGATCTCTGTCTGTCAAATAAATAAATAAAATCTTAAAAAAAATAGCATTTAACAAAGTACAGCATCCTTTCTTGATCAAAACTCTTCACAGTGTAGGGATAGAGGGTATGTACCTCAATATCATCAAAGCCATCTATGAAAAACCCACAGTGAATATCATTCTCAATGGGGAAAAACTGAGAATTTTTCCCATAAGATCAGGAACATGGCAGGGATGTCCACTATCACCACTGCTATTCAACATAGTACTAGAAGTCCTAGCCTCAGCAATCAGACAACAAAAAGAAATAAAAGGCATCTGAATCAGCAAAGAAGTCAAACTCTCACTCTTTGCAGATAATATGATACTTTATGTGGAAAACCCAAAAGACCCCACCCCAAAACTCCTAGAACTCATACAGGAATTCAGTAAAGTGTCAGGATATAAAATTAATGCACAGAAATCTGTTGCATTTCTATGCACCAACAGTAAGACAGAAGAAGAGAAATTAGAGTCAATCCCATTTAAAATTGCTCCCAAACCCATAAGATACCTAGGAGTAAATCTAACCAAAGAGGCAAAGAATCTTTACTCAGAAAACTATAGAATACTCATGAAAGAAATTGAGGAAGACACAAAGAAATGGAAAAACGTTCCATGCTCCTGGATTGGAAGAACAAATACTGTGACAATGTCTATGCTACCTAAAGCAATCTACACATTTAGTGAAATCCCTATAAAAATACCATCAATTTTTTTTTCAAAGAAACGGAACAAATAATCCTAAAATTTATATGGGCCAGAAAAGACCCCAAATAGCCAGAGGAATGTTGAGAAAGAAAGCCAAAGTTGGTGGCGTCACAATTCCAGACATTAAGCTCTATTACAAAGCTGTAATCACCAAGACAGTATGGTACTGGCACAAAAACAGACACATAGATCAATGGAACAGAATAGAGAGCCCAGAAATGGACCCTCAACTCTATGGTCAACTAATCTTCAACAAAGCAGGAAAGAATGTCCAATGGAAAAAAGACAGTCTCTTCAACAAACGGTGCTGGGAAAATTGGACAGCCACATGCAGAAAAATGAAACTGCACCATTTCCTTACACCACACACAAAAATGCACTCAAAATGGTTGAAAGTCCTCCATATGAGACAGGAATCCATCAAAATCCTTGAGGAGAACCTAGGCAGCAACCTCTTCAACCTCAGCCACAACTTCTTCCTAGAAACATCGCCTAAGGCAAGGGAAGCAAGGGCAAAAATGAACCATTGGGACTTCATCAAGATCAAAATCTTTTGCATAGCAAAGCAAACAGTCAACAAAATCTAAAGACAACTGACAGAATGGGAGAAGATATTTGCAAATGACATATCAGACAAAGGGCTAGTATCCAAAATCTATAAAGAATTTATCAAACTCAACACCCAAAGAACAAATATTCCAATCAAGAAATGGGCAGAAGGGGAGCCTGGGTGGGTTAAAGCCTCTGCCTTTGGCTCAGAT